TAAACACAATCATGAATACAGAGATTATTTCCCATGTTAAATATTTTGACAAACGCCAATTTTATTATCTTCATCATAAACTATGAAATTTATAACCAATACCCACTTGGAACAGGTTATTTATAAAATCTTTTCTCTTATAAAGATGAATTATCATCTGTCTTAGTCACTCTCGCTTTGTTGTTGTTGTTTGTTTTTGTTTTTATCTATTTTTATTCTTTGTGTCATAGTCTTTCCTTCTGAATCTTCCAGACTTTACTAAAAGGAGGCTAGTAGTAAGCTCCTCCCTCAGGAACTGTGATGGCCAATGGGAGAAAAGCAACTTCCATGCTGTCCCTAGGAAGAAGATGGCCTTGAGTCAGGGGGGATGGGGCCTGGTCTGAATCCATGCATGGGAAATGGGGGGGTGGGTGGGGGCTGGCTGCTAGCCATGGAAAAAACCATAGTATGTGTGTGTGCAATAGTCCCATCTGACTCAATCTGGCCCACTTATCTTTTTTTCAGAGCAGGTTCCCCTGATTTTGCTCCATCTCAACAGCTCTCAAAAGGCAGATGAACAAGGTCAGAAAGTTATGAGGCAGCTGAGCTCACACACAACCAGCTATGTCAGGCAGAGTCAGGACTGGATCCTGACCTTGTGATCCTCATCCCCCAAGAGGGAGCTTGAAAAACTCAGGAGGCAGGAGGGCCCAGGAAGGTGCCGAGAGGGGCAGCAGCCTTGAGAGTGGAGCCACTGGGAAGAGGTCTGGGGCTTCCTGCCCTGGGGGGAGTTGGGGTGTGGGGGATGATGATAGTGAGGGGGGGCTGAGGACAGTGTCAGAAAGGCCCCCCACCCCTCCCAAGAATGCATGATACAACCCTTCTTGGTCTCTCAGACCACTGCCCAGCACCCTCTCCCCATTTGGCAGGGAGTAGAGGTGAAACTCAGACTACAGGGCAATTTAAGCAAGTCCTTAAGCAGACCTAGGTTTGGAAAAAATTCGCTTCGGATGCTGGAGGCCCCATGCATGCACCCCTCTTTACCAGGTCCTGCCTATGGCTCCCTCCCTGAGGCCCCAGTAACTCACTGTGACCACCAGCTCTCCTGTCTCACTCAGCTCCTGGCGGCCCGGGGTGGCAGTCCCGTTGCTGCACCTGCCTCTCCTCGGGGCACCTCTACCAGGCTGGTCTCACTGACCCGGGGCAGGGGATATTATGAATATGTTCTACCCCATCCACCACCCTCATGGGTCTCCTCTCCCCACCCTCATGCCATGACAATGTCAAAGAAAGGAAAGGCTGGAGCAGGGCACCTTGGAGAGGAGTACAGGTGTGAGTGAACAGACCTGGGTTTGGAGCTGGTTGAGTGACCTTGGGCAGAATCGCCCAACCTCTCCTGAACCCTCTCATCTTTTTCTCATCAGAAGAGTGATGACCTACCTGCCTTTACTGCGTTTAAGAATATCTCTTCGTTCCTACATGCAATGGAAGATATGCATGCCCTTGCTGGAAATATATGTGATTGAAATACACATCATCTTCCCTGCTGTACAAGTGTTGGCAGGATGTGGAGGAGAAATTGGGCAGCTCACTACATTGAAGGTGAATGGTGAAGGTGAATGGAGTGCCAAGAAAGATGGTGTAGCCACTGCCTGTGGAAAATGGTTGGCACTTCCTTCCTTCAATGGTTGTATGCAATTACCATATGAATTTCCACTCTTGGTTATATACCCAAAAGAATATTTCAAACAAACGCTTGTACTGCAAATGTTTGTAGCAATATATACACAGCAGCCAAAAAGGTAGAAACAACTTGAGAGCATGCCTGGGTGGCTCAGTCAGTTAGCGTCCAAAACTTTGAAAGCTCAGATCATGATCTCGCGGTTCATGGGTTCCAGCCCCATGTCAGGCTCTGTACTTTGACAACTCCTGGAGCCTGCCTTTTAGTTCTGTGTCTCCTCTCTCTTGCTGGAGTCCCCAGCTTGTTATGTCCTGTCTCTCTCTCAAGCCAAACATTTAAAAAAAAAAAAAAAAAAGTGAAACAACCCAAATATTCATTAACTGAAGAATGGATAAACAAAATGCTGTGATGTGTGGAAATTTTGACTAAGCTTTTAAAGGGGTGCTTGGGAAACAAGCCTGGGTGGCCTTGATGCGGCGATCCTACAGCCAAGTCCGCGATCTCAGCGGTCAGAGTTCCAGCACCGGGCTTTCCGGCGTGATGGCTCTTCGAACCTGGAGGCTGATGCGATTCTATAATCTCCCTCTCTCTCCTCTATCACCCCTCCCGTTCATGCTCTGTCTCTTTCTGTCCCAAAAATAAATAAGCGTTGAAAAAAAATTAAAAAAAAATAAATAATAAAAGGGGTGCTTGGTTGGCTCAATTGAAAGTTAGCGATGTCTGAGTGTGATTTAGAAGCTCAGGTCTCCTATGGTTCATAAGTTTGGAAAGCTTTACACTGGGTTCTGCACTAGTAGCCCAGAGTCAAGCATGATTCCTATCTCTGCCCCTCCCCAGCTTGCTCTCTCTCTCTCTCTCTAAAATAAGTAAATAACTTTAAAGGCTATCTAAAACAAAGAATGAAAAATGAACATAAATGGGTTCCAATGTAGGAATCGCAACAATGTCCAGACAGCAGAGTAATGGTTGCCAGGGGCTGGGGGAAGGGGAGAACAGGGGTGATTGTATGGGTACAGAGTTCCTTTCTGTGAGTGATAAAAAGTGGCCTGGAACTAGAGAGTGGTAAAAGACTGCAAAACACTATAAATGCATACAAAATGTCTCTAATTTGGTAAATTTTGTAGCAAACCCCCTTATACTTTACTGTAATAAAAAAAATTTACTTTTTTTAAATAATGTATGCACACACACACATATATTATATATATATATATTATGTATTTAAAAGGGTCTACCAGCATGCAGCATGGAGGGGAGCAGACTTAAAAACAAAACACAAAACAAACAAAAACAGGGAGCCACTATACAATAAAGTGCTCTTCAGGTTATCCTTTTGCCCAATCTCATTCCTAAATGAGGAAACTGAGGGCCCCTAGAGGGAAGGAAAATGACAACCAATGTTACATATACAAAACCTTTGTTTCAGTGGGCATCACCGTAATCACTTACCACAATCTATAAGGACAGTCAAAGCAAGTATTATACATCCCCCATTTTACCAGATGAAACTGAGATACTCAGAGGTTAAAGTGACCTTCAGTTCTGGGGTCACAACCCCGGCCATCCGAATATATGTCTCTAACTCCAAGTCTTTTAGCACAGTTCTTCTCCTTCAAGCTTGACTTTTTTTTTGTTTATGTATTCTGAGAGGAGGGAGAACAAAATTTTTACACACGCTCAGGTGTGGAGAACAGAGAAGAGAAAAGGAAAAGAATCTATTATCTCTTTATTGCTTTGAGCCTGACAGGAACTGATCTCACCACTTCAAACTTATGAACCATGAGATCATGACCTGAGCCGAAATCAAGACTCAGACACTTAACCAATTGAGCCATCCAAGCACCCCTTTTTATTTATTTATTTTTTTTTAATTTTTTTTTCAACGTTTTA